CATGTTATGCTGTTTTGCATTTTCTTCAACGTATAATTTAGTTCAGCGTCGATCATTTATCATCCTTAGAAGAAAATATTCTGATCTTTACGTTTAACTATAAAATTGCTTTGGCTTACATTGTGCGCATAAAAGGAGCGTTAAATTAAACATGAGTTGATTCCACGCGAGGGTTTTACCTGGAAAAATGCCTGCACACGAGAGACACCGACATTACCGCGTGTCCCTTTCTGGAAAACATTCGTGTTATGACAAGAAAGGTCAGCTTAAGGGTTTTGGGTTACCCAAACTATGCAATTTTGACGCCGAAAAGTGCCAAAAAGTAATTACAGAAACTTCATCCGCAACACCTTGAACGTGCTGTGGGCGCGAACTGAGATCTTCTCTTACAGTTAATAATTGCCAGGCGGAACTCAGATCCGGCTTAGCCTAATTTGCATAAATTTTTTCGGTGGGCAAAGCTCGTCATGGTCCGTGACACCCAAAGTCATCGATGCTTAAGGTCCCTATTAACCCAGGAGAGCGCCATACCTGAATATCCCCGTGTTAGGACAGCTTACTGAGCGAGAAACAAAAGGAAGAAAAAACAAGAGAAGCAAGACTTAGTCTTTCTTCTTCTTCTTTCTCGGGCGCTTTGAAGACGGCTCATCTTCCCCGAGACTTTCCAAGGGCGGTCGAGTCTGAGGCGAGCTACCATCAGGTTCGTTCAAGTCATCTGGGCTTGGAAGATCATCATCGCTTTCTCGAGATGTGCCCGGCGAGTACATGCTTCTTTCTCTGGCCCGCTTTGTTCTCTTTTTCAACCGCTGATAGTCGGTTTCAGTTTCGGAGTCACTTCTCAGCTCCTCCAATAAGTTCCGCCGGTAAGACGACGAAACTGTGGGCCCACTTACCTCTTTCTTTACTTACTGTCTCCTCTACCCACCACCCCTTTAAGTTCTTAACTGTGGGGTTCATTTTGAAATCATGCGATGCCCTCAGGTTTTCGAATTTTTTACTATATCCTTGCAGATTTCTTACTAGAGCCCGCAACTGTTTGTGGTGACTGCCCACCATGTCGAAGGTGGAATCTATATCCTCGTCCCCTTCTTTTAGGAAATATTATAACAAATTATGAACGTCAGAGGATGCGACAGTTCTTCCTTACCTTGTATTGAACATGGTAACAAGGTTTTTGAACTCGTGTAGATGCCTGAAAGCTCTGGTCCTCTCCATATAATAATAATAATAATAATAATAATAATAATAATAATGATAATATTTAACGACGGAGCTCATTAACTAATTAATTAAATGAATTTAACTAATTACCTTAATTGATAAAAAATAATAGTAATAATGATAACAATAATAAATAAATAAAATAAAATGTGTTTATAAATAAATTTAAAGAGTCAAAATCTTAAAATCGATAACTATTGAAATATCAAAGTTTAAAATTAATCAAAATCTTTAAAAAAAGTTTTTAGCTTGGATTTAAAAATAGATAACAGATTTGTTTCTTTTAAATCAGTTGGAAGGCTATTCCAGTCTTTCGCAGCTTGATAAATAAAAGTTTGTTTACCCCAGTTAGTTCGAGGAAGGGGTAAACGAAGATCATTGGAACGTCTTGTGTTATATGAATGGACAGCTTAATTTTTAATAAAATTAAAGTTAAAATCAGTTTCCCCAATCAGACATTTGTGGATTGCAATGCAGCGATGAAAAAACCTTCTTGCGGAGAGCGACTTGAGATCTAAACTCCTCAGTGCTTCGGTTGACGAGCTTCTAGGTGGGAGCCCCAGCAGAACTTTAGCAGCTTTATTCTGTAGGATCTGTAATTCTGACATTATAGTGTCATTATTCTTGTCCCCCCATATAACATCTCCGTAGTCAAAAGGAGGGAGGATTAGGGTATTGTACAAGGTAACTCTAGTTTGTACTGGCAATACATTCCTGATT